TGATGAAGCCTTTCGCCGGTTTAGCTTTTCGAAGGTAATATTACTCTGTCAGTAAATAGCCTGACCAGGAATGGTCCATAGGATCCAGCCATAAATAACAAAATCAAATTTCCGTCCCCTGTCTCTGCCTACATTAGTCGTACACTAATGTCTCCGGGGAGCTGAGCTCTGACCGGGTAAAACCACACAATTCGATTTTCTCTACATAAGAGTTATGGATAAGTTTGTATGAAGTGACCACTAAGTGATTACTCGGGTCCTATATTGATTCTGACTATCTCTGGAAAATTAGACTTTCGGCCCTGCCAACTATAAATGGGAAAATTCACTCAAGCACCGGTGTTTCAATTACTTTATTATTGGATCCAACTAAACACCTGTAATTATTTTAGTCAGATGCTTTGGTAGAATTATATCTTAAAAGGGCATTTATTGACGATAGCATGCATTCTCTCTTGCACGAAAGTGCAGAAACATTAAAAGTCAATATCTGGGATATTTCTTACTTTAAAGGATTTGCACAAATGTATTTTAAAAGTTATAATTTTTTTTAAATAACAGAGAGAGAGAGAGAGAGAGATCCCCATGGCTAATGTGTAAGCACATGTAATGGCTTATACAACCTTTGACTGCATCAAAAGAAGAATGTGACTCAGAGAGAAAAGAGAGAGTAAAAAGGTCTGAAAATGCACCTTTCCAGTGATTTTTTAATTAACAATGAGTAAATAGCCATGTGCTGCATTGCTTTTTTATGCATAAGTAATGTTTTCAATATCTGTGCAAATCAACTGCAGTTTACATGCAATATATTTACAAGTATTTAAAGCAAAAAATTACAGTATACTAGTCGTTGATTCCTTTCCAGTTCTACTACAAAGCCGTATGTGAAATATATGTCATTGTTTATAATGCAAATTACCTGACATAAACTAAAATTGATTTGAATAAATGGATTCTAATTTGTTCCATCACTCATTTACTATTTGTTTAGGTTGTGTTTGCTGCTTTATTTACATGTAGCAAATACCATTTCAATACATTATGTGTTAATGGCTGAATTTACGGTATTTTGGCACAGAAACCCAAACCAAACCATTAAATAAGAGAATGCTTTAAAACAGATGCGCAGCTTGTCACCATATCTATTTTAATGAGCGAATGTATTTTGATTTATATGCAGATTATTGAAACAAGGCTAGTGCGAGGGAGGTTCCCCGAGCTATTTACCATTTTATTTTGCATAAAAAAGTAAACAATAAAAGTCATGGTAGCAGAGTAAGTGATTGTGGGTCCCCGACTTCTCCGTCTAATTAAGAATTTAGATAACACATACTTCATTGACTTTTATGGCTCAATAACTAGATACCGACAAAAACTGTCAAAAACCTACAGAACAGCCTAAATGAAAAAGATTAGAATACAGTATTTTGATTTGAAAAAAAAAGATTCTCCCCACATTTTGCTTTTTTTTGCGTTTATGGCTTAAAATACAGAGGTATCGCGCTTAATTTTTAAGTGTGAAGTGAACATTGCCATTAGCGATTATACCGCTATTAAATGTAGATATTTAAGTTCTTTTTATTTGTGATAGTACTGATTAACATGTAAACAAGAAAGCCGAAAGAAAACATCAAAATCTAATGGCCCCCAATCAGTTAAACACGTGTTAAGTACATAAATAAAGTTGTATCCGATTCTGTGATCAGAGGTAAGTACTAATTCTCGCTACTTTTAATGTTATCTTAAAATTAATTGTTATAGCTGATTTCTTCTCTAAGCTATCTTCATACAAACATTACTATTCATCAGATAAAAAATATAAATCAATTGGAATTATTTTATGTTTACAAAACATGTGTTAATTATTATTAACTTAGATTTAAAACATCTTTAAAATAAAAATTACGGGAGAAAAAAAATGATTTGAAAGAAAAAGAAATATAATATATTGTTGCACTGTCTTGTGTTTTTTACAATAGTAGATCAAAAAATTGAATTTTATTATCCAAAAATCTTTGGAAGAAGATAAAAATGTAATGAAGAGTGTGATGAAATAAGTAATTCCAATTTCTATACAAATATATAAATTCATTTATGAGTCACTTTATAGAAGAAAACAAAAAGATTATTTCAGCCCGATACTAAGACCTGAGTGGGATGAGTAAATCAGTGGTGATTATTACTTGGTTTTGAAGCCTTGGTTATGAAGTCTTGGACAGCTCTTAAGATCCTAGTTATATATCATATATAAATAAGAAACCTCTCCTCTCATTCTGGCTGTATGGACTGTAGTCACGGAACATTCACTTAGGAACACAGAATCCTTTTGTTAGAAATATCAGAACAGAAAAGAAAGAGTATATGAGATGTGAATCAAAAAAACAAATCTTCAAATAGAATGAGTTGACCACAGAGAACTTCATTACGTGCAGATAAAATACATACATGTAAACGGGAATGGAAAGGTAAAATTATTATTAACCTTTTTAAATTTAATTAT